CCCGAGTCCTTTTAGGATTATTCTAGTCTAAAAGTCTCCTCTATATGTTCAAAATATGAGTTCAACAGTGGTGAATCACTTCGTACGGTTCCTCGTGAGAGATTTTTTCATATTATTGAGAACAGAAATGTGTGCTGAAATGAATGAAATAAAAATCATTCAATTGTAGTTTAAATTAATAGAGTAATTAGATATCGTTTGCAAGTAATTGAATTAGTTCTAATAGTGAGTACTTTTCTTAATAATAACAGTAAGCGAAGAACACTCCAGTGTCAGTCCTGTTCATTTCTTAAGAAATCTTGAATTTCGAGAAACTCGTCAAATTTTGCTTAGAACTCTATCTCAAATTGTAGCAATTCCCGTTTACAGGATTTCACACGGTTCAATAGGATCCTACTTAGGATTTGCTCAAGTTAGTGTCAAGATTTTTTTTTTTCTAAATTAATTATTCAAAACCCTAGCAGGATTTACTCTTGATCGCACCTAGGATTCTCATAGATATAGCAGATATTCCTGGCTACACGTTTCTTTCAGAACTTAGGGTTTCTTGAATAGATTTCTGAGCCTAGTGATAAATCGGTAAAGATGCTGATTGAATCTTGTTTTAAACTCTGTTAAGATTTTGATATTTCATGGTTACACACTTCATTCAAGATTTAGTCGTTTCCTGAGGAAAATAGACCGAACCTTCAAAGGATCAACGAGACTTATTCATATATTAATTATATTTTTTCCATAAGAAAACTGTAGCTAACAATACTTCTTCTATCCACTTGTTTTTATACATAAATTTTAAATCATCAAAATTCAAGTATTTCACTTCAGGTACACTATATGCATCTGTTATTTAAAATTTATTAATTTGGCGATGAGGACTTTCATTTGAATACAAGAGATGATGAATGAGAAGAAAAAAAACACAGCAACTATAGTTTTGTATGAAAGATTTTTGGGTGAATTTTTTATGTGAAAGTATGACTTGATCCATTTGTTTATTAATTTCGTTTTTTTTTTTTTTTAATTTTTGATTTCAATGAAAATGTATTTTCGGTTATAAAAAAACAAACAAACAAAATATATATATATAAATATTTGGATGCAAACCAACAGAAAACAATAAAAACAAGGGTAATATTATCCAAGTTGTCAGAAACATGAATAGTTGACTTCTGTAAGTTTTGTTTGTGGATCAAGTCCAACACCATAAACCGGTAAGTATCGATAAAAACATCTAAAAAAAAATATGCATATATATATATATAAATATATTTAAATAATTATTTTCTCTTGTCTTACTTAATTCTTATTAAAGATGAATTATATGGACTAAAATCTAAATTCCACATACATGGTCTTTTCTTATTTCGAGATCCATCATTAAAATTTGATATTTTTGGATTGTCTACACTTGATGATCGACTAAGTATTGATGGTCTTCTTCTATTACCAGAAAACGAATCACGTGCTAAATTTGTTGAAGATTTATCAGTTTTTCCTGATGAAGAATGTCCACTCGATAATAGATTTAATAATGACTAAAAATAACAAATTAAAGAAGTTGATTTAATCAAAATATAAGTTATTTCTTCTAGTATAATTTTAGAAAAGTTTTATGTTTTGAATTTTCTACTAGTGTATATTAGATGAATTATTTATTAATTGAGAATAGTTTTTTCTAGTTTAAAAAGTGATATTAGAAGTATGATTGAAAAACTTACTTCTACATATTCTTATTGATAGAGATTGTAAAGTTTTTCAAACTTTCAGATATACTATTCTTCTGAGATTTTAATAAAATTCATGATCGTAGAAAAATAATTTATTAAAAAAATGGTTTTTATCTTAGACCTATGAGGACTCTCCTGCCGTTGATATAGTCACTTGTAGGTTGGAACTATGTACATCATGTGAAACTATATGAGCAGAGTTCAAGCTCTTCGATTATTTCTGCCGAGATAGAATATTTATAACATCTTGTTTAAATTCAACATCTTGGTCTCTTCTTCAGGAGCACCAGGAAAGTTGATTTTCAAATTTCTTATTGTTCATATTCTAAGATTCGACTATGATAAGTACGTGTCTTTCGCATTACTTATATATATATCGGTAGATTCATATTACTATTTCACTATAAGAGAAAATCAAATGACTCTAAAACTTTCATAATAAACTATTCTCATCAAGTTCCATCTCTATACAAAGCTTCAAGTCAGAATTCGAATATTACAGGGTGTCCCATAAGTAACAAGACAAGGAAAAAAAGTTTGAATATCTCCATTAGGGCTCGACCAAATGGGCTCAAT